TACACAATTGTAGTGGTTTACGCGTACACGTACAAAAAAAACTATGACGGCCAGGATTTAAAGCATATGCTGCCCATTACACAGAATGCAGCCATATGCGAGAGCTTCACTAACACAAATCACTTTAAACCTTATGGATTACATTGTAGTAAATCACACTTTTAACTTCTCGAGTAACACCATACTGACCATACAATAAAAAAGTATGCACTAAGTGGGGGGGACTCGCTCGCTAGATTCCGTGCCGACCGGTTGTGCCCTCGCGATCTCCGACGTCAGCGTAGCTCTGGCCAACTGGGCTCGACCTACGTCATCTCCTGACGCCGATTTCCGACGACAGCGCAGCTCTGACCTACTGGACTTGCTCTACGCCATCTCCTGACGCCAAGAGCTCTCGCAAGAGGTGCCCCGTCATCGGACTCGTGTGACCGTGTTTCCATCTTCCTTACCTCTCCTATCCCCTCGATATGTCCTCGCTCGCTGGCTTAGCGCATCTCTCTTTCTCTCTCTCTATACCTTTATTCCAATCCTTTTAATCCCTCCTCACCCCCATCCCTTGTGAGCTACTGTTGAGGTGTCACACCCTGAAGCAGAAAGTCACGGGGCTCACTTTTCTCTTCTCTTTTCCCTTTCAAGAACCTCTACACTAAGTGGTGGAAGTAAGCACTACGTATACAGGATATCGATATCACGTTTTTGTTGCAGTAAAGCAAAGACAAGACAACGCTGTTCGAGTAGTCAGCTTACAAATGACGTTCAGGCAAGTGGAACTGTTCATTTTGGTGAATACCACCGTGGTATTTCCGTTGAATTGTTCCTGGCCAGCGGTATGATTAGAGAAGCACGTGCTCGATTGTATGACGTAATGCAAAGGGTAAATGTTTGAATTGGCTTTCTATAGCGATACGGTCAACGCAGGCAACCGATACAAGTCGTCACGCGGTGACGCGCCTGCTTTTCATTCCATAACTCTAATCGAGCATTACTTGCGCCGAATATTTGGCGGAATGGGCTTGTATACAATTCATTTTGATATGTATCGCGACGAAGTGCAGACAGAGGACTCGCTCGGTGGATTCCGTGCCGACCGGTTGTGCCCTCGCGATCTCCGACGTCAGCGTAGCTCTGGCCGACTCGGCTTACTCTATCTCCTGACGCCGACCTCCGACGACAGTGTAGCTCTGACCGACTGGACTTGCTCTACGCCCTCTCCTGACGTCGACAAGAGCTCTCGCAAGTGGTGCCCCGTCCTCGGACTCCTGTGACCGTGTTTCCATCTTTCGTATCTCTACTATCCCCTCGATTTGTCGTCGCTCTCTCTGGCTTACCTCATCTCTCTTTTTCTCTCTCTACACCTTTATTCCTATCCTTTTAATCCATCCTCACCCCCATCTCTTGTGAGCTACTGCCGAGGTGTCGCACCCTGATGCAGACAGTTGCGGGGCTCACTTTTTTTTCTTTTTCTTCTTCTAAACATAAACACTCCCTCCCACCCCCCAAGTGCAGGCAGACTCGTGTGCAAGTGACTTCTTATTGAGAAAGTACATTTAGCCAGTGATTATTTATGACAATGCTGACAATGCAACGTGAACACACTGAAGGACGTTTTAAGAAAATACATTGGTTATTGCTTCATTGATAAATGGGGTTTAAGGTCCCAAAACCACCATATGTACATGAGAGGTGCCGTAGTGGAGGGCCCCGGAAATTTCGACCACCTGTGGTTTTTTGACGTGCACCCAAATCTGAGCACATGGGCCTATACATCAATTTCGCCTCTCAAAAATGCAGCCGCCGCAGCTGGGATTCGATTCCACGACATGCGGATCAGCAGCCGAGTACCTTATTCACTGTACCACCGCAGTGGGGAAAAATAGGTTAGGCATCATTGGTGCTCACGAAATTATGCTCCACCGCTTGCATGCGCTCTAATTGTGGGCTCAGTTTAAGGCTGAACGCCGTATGGATGACGCCAATAATTTCGCTGAACAACTCAATGTGAGAGCACGTTAAGCTAGCGACAAGCTTATTGGCTGGTTGACAGTGAAAATATATGTGATTGCACAGTTGGTAACCGCAGCGACGTAGGCAACTTTGCCGAGGAAAACAAAAATTGAGAATATTAGCTGAGAATCAAATCTGCTAAAGCGCCTCAACCTAAATGAGGACACTAAGTCTCTTCTCAACCATTAGGCAAGCTTCGCTTCTCGGTAGGCAGCAAGAAAAGGAGCGTCTGCGCACGCTCCATTGACCGTTTTGAACTATTCTAGAATGCATACTCCAAGTAAAGTTGTGAAGTTCCCACATGCCATATTTGTTCCTTTTGCCATTTGGCGTATAGTAAACGTTTTTTTTTTCCCGAGATTGTTTCATACCTGGGAATGGCTCTGTAGAACCCATGCTTGCTTGCAGTCGTCATGGGTTCCATTCCCACCTCTACAGAAGTTTTTTTTTTTTGTTAAAGCAATAGCGTCGAAGGGCTCGTTTCACAGACATTTTGGCGTCGTTATTGGTTGTGAGTGAGAAATAGGCGTTCTCCTTGAGCGAACATTCGGGTTAGATGCACATAAACAAAAAAAAAGTTCGGTATTAATAAACGAGTTAGGGAGCATGAATTAAATCTAATGAAGGATGGCTTGGCGCATTTGCTTATACATTGCAAAGCGTGCAAGTGTGTACCACGTTTTAACGAGATCAAGATTATAGGTAGAAGTAGATATAAAACTGCGTGTGAGTTGTTGAAATCCTATTACATAAAAAAAAGAAGGACAGCGGATCAGCTAGCTATACAAGTCGGTGACGTTGTACGTATTGAAGAATAGATTGTTCGATAGCTGCATAGCGTAAGGTTGTGTGAAGACTGCGCATGTCTGTATGTTGTATAGTTAAATCTGGGTTTGTGCTCAGCCTCGGTATACTTTAGTTGGAAGTGTCACTTGTTATTGTAGTTGTGTGTTACTTTACTCTGTGTTTGTGGTATTTCGCGGCTAAAGTATGCCATTAAGCAAGTACCAACTATGCCAACAATCAGTCTTGATAAAAAAAAAGTTCAGCATGGATGAAATTTGAACCCTGGTCTTCAGCGTGGCAAGCCGGTGTTCTGCCGCGGAACCACGCCAGTATTTCTTTGTTGTTGAAGCGACGCCAGTGCTTGTAACTGGTTCGTGGAAAACGCCATAAGAATGCCATGTAGTAGATGGAGTCTCCTTAACGCATGTATTATTGCGTGACAGAATCCTAGAATCGCACCAGGTGTCAAAACTTGTGAAGAGCACACTGAGTGACTCAGATTTGGGTGCACGTTTAAGAACACCCGATGGTCGAAATTTCCGGCGCCCTTCACTACAGCTTCTCTCATAGTCGTATGGTGGTTTTGGGACGTTAAACCCCACATGTAAATAAATGGAGGACACCTAGTGGGTGGTTTAAAATTATCTACCGGTTACAAAGGGTGCAGCCGTCACTCTTACGCATGGTACCTTACGGACGCGTAGCCGGTACTTCATCAATTTGCAAAAGGAGCAGTTACGGCGTACTTCGCAGCTGTACAACCAGTAGACATTTCAGTAGTTTGTAAACGCCAATGTTACGCAAGCAAACGTTACTTTTCTTGTGGCCTGGTTGAAGACGATGAACACCAGATTACGCTATCGCATTGTACTGGTTCAAGCGTTCTCCAACTTCTATTTATTTATTCGCATCTATATTTCAAATTTTTGTACACAGACAACGCTGCTTTTTCGCTCACAACCAAGACTTCGACATCGTTATTTCAGCAAAACGAGCTTTTTAACGCTGTCGCCTTAAAAGATAGTCACCTGACTGAAGATATTACAAGCTTGCAACTGCCATCATGATTTCGAGTTTCTCCATTCTCAGTTTTCATGAAAGCTAAACAGGAAAACAACAAAAATAATAGCTCGGGGCGATTGGCCTAGCGGCACTTACCAATGCTATCGAGATTTTGTGCTGCTGCTCTTAGAAATCAAAACAGGGCTCGACTGACATATATGTATAGCAGGCAGTGTAATTGCGGCATTCTTCGCAGTATAAGACTGCTTTGCAGAACGCAATGCTTCTTGGCGTCTTTTCAGTGGACATCGCGGATGACATGATGTAGGGAAGCATTTATAGTGGCTGAAAATTACAACTACAATGTTTTATATAGATATTAGTCAGTTGGGCGCCCCCTATAGGTGTGGATACCTGACCAGCATTTTTTTTTTTTTGCACAGATACCTGTTATGTTGAGGTAGGCAACGGACAACGCCAACGGGGGTCCCCGATTCTTTGTTATTCTCTTGTTCAGCAATACATTATGCCTGGTTCACCTTAGTTTAGGAAAATATTCATTGGTGAGTATGCGACGCTACCTTTGACCTCCTCATCGACCTCATTATAGCTATCAGTGAGTACCTGTGGCTTCATTATTTTCCCCAAGAACATCACTCCAAACATCACACATGCATTCGACTCAGCAGAATGCCAGCGCGCGGAGTTTCGGAGTGCGAACTCGGAATTAGTAAGTTCCTTGTGAAGTTTCGCGTTTTGTTGCAGCCAGCAGTGCGTGAAATGGCTGTGCAATGGCTTCGGTCACTGATCTTTTTGTTTAAAGCAGACTGCTTCTTCGTACGGGCAGAAAAAAAAAGTTGAGCGTGATAAGTGGCTGTTCCCTGCGATGACACTTCCATTGTTGCTTTTCGTGAGAGCCAGATGTCACGTGTTTCTCAGTGTAAGGAAGCGCGAGCCTAACCGACGAACAGGCCCCTTCTGGGAAGGCGCGCACAGTCTGCGAAACTCGGGGGCGCTGCCAGTGCTGGGACGGCGCCATATGGCGAGCACGCCGGCAGGCGCGTCTCTCTTGACTGTCCCGCTTCGCGAAGCCGTCTCGCTAGGCGACCAATGGACGGCCGCCGGTTCACTACGTCGAACGCGTCACCGAGGCCGCACGTGACGCCGGAAAGCGTCGTCAACCCCCGCGCGTTCTTTTACTGCGTGGTTCGTATCGCGCCGAACCGTCCCTTTGTCCGTCTCGTTTTTCTCCCTGTCTTCATTTTTATTTATTTACTTACGCGCTGTTTATCTCTCGTCCCGCTCGCAGCTCTTGAAAAAGGGACCACGCGTCGGCTGCCGACGCATAGCATCCGCGAGCTTGCGTCGAGCGCGCGCCTGGGAGAGGGAGGCCGTGGTCCGCGACTCCCCCAGTGGGCCCACATCGCTGGTTGCTGATCGGAGTGGGCTCGTATTGGGCCACCTAGCGTGCGCAACCGCTGCTGTCTTCGGGGCTGTAAAATAGTATTTAAGAGAGGATTTCACTTTATCTTTTCTTGTGCTCCCGCTCGCATCTGAAGGCGTTTCCGTTCCGTCGCTGCACCATGTCGAGATTAGCGAAACTAGCATTATTTTCGACATTGTTCGCCTTCTTCAGCGCGGGCGACACCGACGCTGCCACTATCCTGGAAAGGCTGCGCAACCGAATATTCGCTACGAAAAAGCATCCGCTTATATTAGGTAAGTACACAAACTTTCTTTGTGTGTATGCCCGTGTTTGAACTTTGGCACAGTGAACACCCTGTTGCGAAGGAAGATGCTGTACGATCTGCTCAACGGGTGGTTGAGATTTGTCTGTGCTGCATTTCACTTCAGGCAATGAGGTATACTCGGAATGTATAATTTGGTTCTAGCGTGCCTTTCGTGTATATCCATTTCAGCGCTGAATGGGTTAATAGATATACATACCGTATTTCTTGGACGACAACGCGTGCTTTTCTTTCTGTCCAAACTTTAACCGAGCACGTCTTACACAATGGTATGGTGCCACTCATAAGCATGAAACGCCGCGTGTTGGTTTTCTAGTTCTTCCGTAGCGCGCCACGCCGCAGGTGTAAAATGCCAGTACATGGCTGTCTACAACCTTGCGTAAAACAATAAATGCCGTTCAGATTCCACGGACGCCAATCCGAAGATGCTGCCGGCCGAAGGGGGATGAAATTTCAGACTCTACGTTGGAGGACGCGGCTTTCTGCTGAAGCGCAATAAATATTCGTCGTTTAAGTGCACGTGACAGAAGGGCTGCATTGTTCTTTTTCTTTGGCGAGAACTTCTGGCCTCATAACAGTCGCCTTTACAAAAATTTAGTGCCTTTCGCGATGAGAATATACGTGTTGCCACTTCATTATGCCAAGCAAATAAAAGAGTTGTGAATCATACACGCCAATTTTTTTTCTTGTTCAAAGTTTGCTGCCTAAAGAAAGGCCTCAGTTAAATCTTGAAGATACGATATGCGGTCCCCAGAGGAACTGTGGTCTTCAAATTTTCTGTAGTATCCCGTGAGGCTGCCGTTTGTATTTTCGAGCACGGGCAATTTTGCGGCGCGTCGTTTGATTATGTCGAATTTATGATATGCGCGAGTGCTTAAGCGAGTTCGGCGCGAGCTAAATCAGTTTCAGATTTAACTCATTAATTGATGAATATGACTGATGACTTGAAAAACGTGGTTCTTTCTGTACATGCCATCTTTTTGTGTACTTTGCTGATAGTGATTGTGCAACTGATAAGCGACTGCATACGCTTCCTCATAAGTGATGTCATCGGGCGAACTAGGATTTTTGGCGTCACCAATTTTTCGTCGACCGTGGATGACTATGTAGTGATAAAAGCATGATTAGTGAATATGCATGCGCGCATTTCATGAGTGTAAGTTTGCTTGAGTGCGACGACTTTTGAGTAATTTCTTGCTCAAAAGATCATGACTAAATCGTTTGTGTTTTGTCAGACCGCCCCCTCTTCTTCTACCCACAATCGGAAATGTCGGTCAAGGCGAATCAAAGCCTGCAAGCAGCGGGTGGCTAGGCTATAACAAAAGGTTGCCCAAGCAAGCGGTGGCTTTCCCAACCAACCTAAATAGCTTGCGGTCACGTTTCTTTGTTTACATATTTTTGCCACAACTATCTATGTTTAAGAATACGCATATATATGTATATCTGTTGCTGTACACATGGTGGGACACTACGTCCCAAAGCTACATTCTCGATCCGTTCGAAGAGGCGGCTATGCATTATTTCTTGACACGACTGAGGATAAAACGAAACACTGTACGAAAATGAAAATCCAGTAAAAAAATGTTCACGGAAAGCCTGGAAGCGCTAATTGTGCTTTATCTTTTAATTTCACGGATATCGCTTTGAATCTTGTACAAGAGTGCACACGTAATTACCAGCCATTTCACTTTTTTGTCTTAACTGTGCTGAGCAAAAAAAATTTAAATACAAAAGGAAGACACCTGGGCACGGCGCACAGTTTCACTAGTTTCTGCATTTGTAGAATTTATCGGCTTCTGTGCGTTGTCTTAAAAAAAAACAGATATGCATGTAGGCCATGTTTGCTTGATTAGATAACCGCTTGTTAATTTTTTGACTGCCACTGGTAGTTAAGTAGAACTAAGAGGATCGAAGGGAGTCGCCGAAAATCGGGTGCGGTTACAAAGATAAGTAGCTAAGTCTAAAACTACTGCAATTAGAGAAGATTGAAAGTTTTAACGAAGAAAAAATAGATTAACCTTCTCAAAAATGCAGCCGGGAAATCTTTTTCAGTTGAATAGGCACCCTTCAACGCCTTTATCCGTGAACCAACCAAATACCGTGGGTTGTGTTTTCAAAAGGTGCATAATGGCAGGGGTGATGTCAGTGAGGGAGAAGGGGGAAAGGGGCTTGATCTATGGGGGAGCTGGAGCACCCCTAAACTTCCGCCTGCCCTCCCCCAAGAGCAAGCATAATCAACATACAACGCATATATTCCCAGCCTTCCTGTCCCCCTGAAGAAGTTACTTGCCATGGGTGCCCGCTAATTCCAGCAAAAAAAAAAAAAAAAGTCCTGACGCTGCCTCTGCCTGACGGGTGTCTCGGATTTCAGTGAAAGGTGTACCTCATCTCTACGGCAATGCATTGGACTTCAGCTGTACGGGCGGATGCAATTTCATCCCAACTCACAGCACCTGTATTGAGTGAGTGGACTGCCCAAAGGTGACCTGTCTGAAATCCGAGGCGGTATATTCTGCCATTGTCTGAAAATATGCTGTGGGTAAGGAAAACTGTGACCTCGTGAATCGCTGTATTCGTGAAGATGCAGAAGCGTGGCCAAGAGGCGTCGAAACAAAAAAAAAATTGCTATATGGGAAAAAAACAGTGTGGGGGTGGGGAAGGTACGTACTGAGTACAGGAACATGGAGCGGTCCTAATAAATACGCAGTAAGCGCTGGCTGGGTTCTGTGAGTGGTGAGCTTCGGCCTTGTCGTTGGCATGTTTCTTCCATTGTTTCGTGCAGAATCTTTAGAAACATGCGTATAGAAGGAAATATCAACACGGGGCTTGATTTGTGCCCAGATATTCGTGCTGTGTAACCGAAGCAGCCATGAAGAATGGGGAAAAGAGTAAAAGGGCCTTTTGATTACGCAACCAGAATGACGATGAAATGACGTCAGCCTAGGTTTACCATAAGGAACAACAGAAATTCAGTGTAGTTTCGCCATGCATGTCGGATGAACAACAGGCACGCTAAGACACGCGCACATCTTTGTTTCATCGGTATTGTTTTCTTTTTTCGTTTCGCGAATTTTGTGAAGGTCATGCATTTATGCCGGTAAAGAAAGAAGTCTGATAATGAATAGTTGAGCGCTAGCAGGAGTGCAAATTTGTGGCATTTACACCGATCGCCATTCGCCCCGCCGCGGTGGTCTAGTGGCTAAGGTACTCGGCTGCTGACCCGCAGGTCGCGGGTTCGATTCCCGGCTGCGGCGGCTGCATTTCCGATGGAGGCGGAAATGTTGTAGGCCCGTGTACTCAGCTTTGGGTGCACGTTAAAGAACCCCAGGTGGTCAAAATTTCCGGAGCCCTCCACTACGGCGTCTCTCATAATCAAATGTTGGTTTTGGGACGTTAAACCCCACAAATCAAATCAATCAATCGATCGCCATTCGGACTGCGGTGGATGGAGGCTACACGGCGAATATTCCCGTAGAACGCATCTGCAGTAGACAAGCCTGGATAAGTGACGTTAACTGCGAGTCGGCAGAACCACAATGTTGTGCTACACTGCACAGAATTTTCATTCACGCTTGCGTTATTTTTAAAGAATTCGTTCGGCACGACACGTGCGCGGTGTTGCGCAACAGTGTACGGGCTGAAATACATTCACCGTGAGCCGCGGTCGCTGTCAACAAAAGCCGTTTGCGTGGTTCACTCGGCACACCAAACTTATCTCCCGCTGAGATAGCCCCGTTATTTTGGTCGTGCGCAGTCTATGCTGAGTGGGCGGGAAGAGTGACTTCCAAAACACTTCATGGATGGGAAGGGCGCAGCTCAATGGACAGGCAACGCTTAGCGACAAACCCAACCGTTTGGTTACTGAACAATGTACACAGCGAAGCTTCGCAGCGAAAAAAAAGAGAAAATAGCAAAACTTCCACACCAGTTGTCAAATGATGCGTAAGCAGTGCCACGCCGTCAAAGGGGGACCACCCCACGAGGGTTTGGCGTGTACCTATATGGCGCGACTGCACGTGTGTGCAACGCCGGGCGATGGCATCACGTGTGGCATCACGTGTGTACAACTGCGTTGCCCAAGTTGGGAACACGCGCGCGCGAGCTCTTGCAACAGCGAATGCTTGTAAATGAATCTTTATGAATGGTAGAGTGACCGCCCCGGAAAGGCGTTGGTCTCGGGTTTGAACTCCGGACCAGGACGAATTTTTCGGCAACTAAGTAGCCTTATTTTTTTTTAGATATCCGTACGGATTTCCTTGTAGCGGCGTACTACAAACAGGTGGCTGTGTTCTTTCCATTTCTTAACTCTACCTCCACCTTGCGGGTTTTCTTAGAACTCATTTGCAATGTTTATGAATGTTCGTAAATGTAAATGAATGTTGATTAGCTTACAAAGTCTAATGCCCGTCGGGCCCGATCAAAGCGACTGAACTTCATCGGATGCATCCGAGCCTTATCAGTCTTTATCGAGCTCGTGGTGTTTATATCTGTCCAAGCTTACTGAACTCGAGGTGACTACATTCTTTGTTCGAATTATCTTAATTACCGAACATTTAGTGATGAAGTTACGATAGAACTTCAGCATTGATCTCGTTTTGCTATTCCCTAATATTTTCCCAATGTCTTCTTTACTGGTTTTTGGTAATTTAATTATTGACTTATCTTGATTATAACTTTATTTTATTGATAATAACTCCCGTTGATTTTCATTACATCCTGCACGTCCATTGCTCGCTTTCACGTACCCCTGTACTTTTAACTCCAAGTGCGTCACGTTACGGACACCGTTTCGCTCCGACTTTGCTCGTGGAACAGCAAAGTAATGCTTACACTTGAAAAACAGTTTTTTTTAGTCAGTCTACGGCGAGCGTGGACGTGATGATCAATTCTCTCTGCTGATGCTCTTCGGGTGTAACTTGGACACAAAAGTTGTGCTTCGCTGTAATCGACAGCCATTGTTGTAGATGTGGG